TGGGTTCGCGGCGAACCCAGAGCAGAGCAGAGCAGCGAACCAGAGCAGAGCAAACTTGGGTTCGCGACGAACCCAGATCTGCTCTGGGTTCGTCACGAACCCAGATCTGCTTTGGGTTTGTCACGAACGCAAAGCAAATCTGGGTTCCTCATGAACCCAGTCATGGCCAAGCTGATGAGGGGGAAGGGGAGGAAAAACGGCTGGAAATGGTGGCAGTAGCAAGATGAACAGAGAAAGCACAAAGGAGAACCATGGCAAGAAAATAAATTAAGGGTATTTTAGTAATTTAATATTTAAAGAATTGAAAAAAATTAAAAAAAAAACAATTAAGTCTGACTTGGCATACTCAACGTAGGCTAATTATATGAGTTGTCATTGCCACATCATTAAAAAGTGCCATTTTGGAATATTTAACTACCATGTGTCACTTAACTGACAGAATAATTAAAATTGTGCAGTTTTTAGAGTTAAGGGATCAAAAAAGTGTAAAAATTTGTTGAGGGACCAAAAATATGCATTTCATAAAGTTAAGGGATTAAATTTAGCATTTAACCTTTATCACTTAATTGCCTCTTTTTTCATGGTACAATTTTGGGTTTATCTCACTTTCAATCCTTGCTTTGATTTTGGCCAAAGGCAATAATGCAGCTCCTTCCTCCCAATTTATACATCTTTAGGTCCTATTTCAGAATTGAGATTTTGAAAGTCTATCTACTTCTGGACTCAAATCAATATGAATCAAATTTCTTAAAATAATGAAGTTGCTTTGAGGCGGGTGAGAAGAGACTAAAATAGTAAAATAAGGGAAGGGATATACATCTCCTTTTGTGTAGTTTGATGTACTAAAAAGATTGAAATGCCTTTGCTATGGTATTCGATAAATAGATTATAAATAAATAGTTTATATAGATAGAATTAGGTATTTATCTATTTTATTTTTAAAAAATTAAGAAAAAAATTATTTTAAAATTATATTATTTCAATTATGTATCAAGAAAAAAACTATCTAAAGCAATCTAACTTATACTTTAAAAATAGAGTGTATTAATTTTTGTAATGAGAATTTATTAAAATGATATAGTTGTGCATATGAATATATATAGTAGGGATCTATTAATACAAGTTTTACATGCTACACTTATATAAAATTTTAACAATTTATCTCTTTATTTTTAATTGTTGGGATTTTTTCACATTTTTTTAATCTAAAAATTCATGATATATATATGAGGAAAAATTTACTCACACACAAATCTTGCACACCACAATTATATAAAATTTCAACCATTCATTTCTTTGGTTTCAATGGTTGAGATTTGTTACAATTGTTTAGTTGAATAAAATAATTATATTTAACAAATATGAATAAATTTCAATCATTAAAAATAAAAAGATGAATTGTTAAAATTTTGTATAAATGTGGTATGTAAAACATTTGTATAAGTGAATCTCTTATCATATATATATATATATAGAAGAGAT